GGAGGGGGTGCCCTCCTCACCCCCCCCCCCCCACCACAACCTGTGCCAGTGCCAGGCCTGAGGAGCTCAGTGTGCATCCCCCCTCGGTGCATTCCCCTCCCTGCATCATCTCCAGCTTTCCCTAGTAAAGCCATTTTAATGAACACCAAGTTCTGCAGGGGGGTTAAATCCTTAAGCAGCTTTCACGACAGAACAGAGCTTCCCTGGCCCTGCTGGTGGCCAAGGATGACCCCAGTGGGGTCCACAGGGTCCCCATCCCAACTGTATCCCTGCCAAGGCCACCACGATCCTGTGCTGCCACAGCCCCCCCACCAGCTTAACCTGCTCCAGGGATGGTTCCCATTGCAGCCCAGTGGTGCCCACAGCTCCCAGGCATTTTAGGTTGAGTCAATAATGTTTCCCAACCCCAGCCAGTGAAACCAGCCCGTGGCTGCCGGGTGTGACAGGGCTTGTTGGCAATTTCACCTCCCCTGCCTGGCTCCTCGGAGCAAATTCATTCTCCCCCCCCCAAGTAATCAACCATGTTTGTTGCTCTTTGGCTTCTCCATCTTCTGGGACTGAGCTCAGGCTCTGCCTGGAGTTGCCCAGCCCAGCCCCAACCCCAGCCCCATGCACCCAAACTCCAACTTTCACCCCAAAACCTCCCCCAAGACCCAGAGCAGCCCCGGGGTGGCCGGCAGGGGCCACGTCCTGGCTGCCCCGGGGCTCCCACAGGAGGGTTTGCTGCAAAAACCAGGGCGGATTTTGCAACTCATCGGGCTGAGCTTGGGAATCATGTTCCCATGGCAACAGCAGAGCCGGGTACCACGGGGCTGGGGGATGCAAAACCCAGCACTTCCAGACCTTGGCCATTTTCCAAACATTTTCCTCTCTTTGCTCAACATTTTCAGTGACGTTTTGTTTTGCAAATAAAGAGCAATTTGGAAACAAGCAGTTCAGGCTTGGGTTGGGGGGGAGAATTGCCCATCACCACCTTCTTCTCCAGCTCAGGAAAATGGGCAGAAGGCTGCAATTTGAACCCAAAATGGCATCTCTGCTGCTGCTGCTGCTGCAGCCCCACTGGATGTGCCACAGCCCAGCCCCTCGCCCTGGCAGCTGCTGCTCAAGGCCTCAAATAAACATCCACCCTCAGCCTTGGCTGCAGGGGGAGTTAATTTCATTTGCTTTACAGATGATCTGGAAAATGTCGAACAATGGGAGAGGCTGAACCGGGGGCAGGGCACGTGCAGCCCCAGGCTGGCACTGGCCACACCTCAGCAGGAGGCCTTAAACACCAGGTTTTACCCAAACTGCTGGTTTTCAGGCTCAAAGGCTCCTCTGCCAATGGGGAAGGGTTAAAACACGTGTCTCCAGGCAGCCCTGGGAAGTGGCACATGGCATCTGTGGAACCTGGGGCACCAGCCCTGACGTCCCCTGCCCATGAGGCTTTACACAAGGGCCTCTAATAAACACATCAGGAGAGTCTCTGCCAAACAGGTGGAGCTGCCACTGAGGCAGCTCCCTGAGCCACTAAACATGAGGACACAGCTGGTACCCTTGGAAGGGCTTTCTGACCCAGGGGGACAGACCCAGATCTGGGAACAACCCCCCAGCATCTGTGTCCTGTTGCAGGGTCTCACACTGCCTGTCCTTTGTGGGGGGCTGCTCTAGGGGGACCCACCCTGACCCCACACCCTGCCAGGCTTGCTGGCTACCTTCCCAAAACCTTGGGCTGCTCAGAGGGAGATAGGTGTTGCCACAAGCCTGCTCCCCACCCCGGGAATGAAAAACAGAGCTCCCGGGGCACAGGGAGCCTGGGAACAACTTGCCAACCCCCAGTCAGCACTTCCAAAACCACTGCTGCACCATCCCTACAGATCGTGAGCCCCAGCTTACATGGGAGGGCAGGATCTCCCACCATTCCCACCCTTATCCATCCCTCCACCCCCCCTGCATCCCTCTCTCCATCACCCTTTATCCCCTTCCCTCCTCTCCATTAATCCCCCCCACATGTCTCCACCCACCCACC